CAATATTATACATATTGAACAAGTCAGTGTTACCACGTCTATAAATGAATTCACATAAACCTAATTAATACTACAATATGTACGGGATCACCAGCCTGGTAACACCACATGGACCTACTATTCATAGACTGTTCCACAACTCCTCTGCACGATAACAAGCATTTTACAAACAAGTCAATGACCCCAAACTTTCCAAAACATTGTACACAATTATCGAAACTATTAGAATAATAACATCATAATACTCACATTAGGACGTGGTCGGGGTAACGGTGTGTAGCACGCGTAATCCTCGTCAAACCTCGTGAAAAAACAGCACACACACGGAGCACTGATCGAGCACACCTGAACCAGTTTCACTTGGCCGACGAATCATACATAATCGCACGAAACATCCAGAACTACTCTAGAAGAACCCATCCAAGGTGGGTAGGCGAACAGAGTCACTCGGTCTCCATCGCGACGTTCCTTCTGATCCCCGACGAAATACTTTAATCCCTCCTATCCGCGAACAGGGAACACACAGTCCATCGTGCATAACACACAGTCCCCGCAGCGATCCATCCAACTTGATTAAAAATCATCGAGAAACACCCGCAAACCGTTCATCCCTGTTACGGTCCGGAGTCCACGGGTACGGTTCAATCATCCACGGATAGTATTCATCGTTTCCCGCGTTCCAGATCGAACGTCACACTCGAGAGAATCGTTCGGTGGGCTGGACCGTTGGCAACCCGATCCTCGATCGCGTCGTCCATCTCACGATTCGACGACGGGGCTCAGCTCGTGATGAATCGTCGAAAAAGAATCCCGTCCATGATCCTAGCTGGGTGTCCAGTCACGCCAAACGAACGCCCATTGAAATATGTTAATACTGATTGCCCCCCTTCTTCGAGACACGGATCAGCTGGAACAGATAACTATCCACGAATACAGAAACGACCCTGGATACGGTCACGGGGGATAGAACGTTGTCAGCCAGCGGGAAGGACGGCACTTATGGTAACCCAGTTTCGAGCGACGTCGTTTATCCCCAAGGTTCACAGATATCAGCAAGATTACGTCGATCGTACGTCGACCTTCGAATATAACGGGGTTAAATCGATCACTGGACGATCCCTGGGTCAATCTAGAACGGTGCCACTCGGATACGACCAGCTGACAGGTTTGAGGTTCGGACGAGGAAAACAGCCCTCGCCTTGCTCCATTTACACGTCGGTTTGTTCACGGTTGCATCCTTACCTAGTTACCGTCTCCACGCACTGTCCACTGTAGTCCACCGATCCGAATAATAACACGACACGCATCGCGAACCGATCCACCGCGGGTCCAGGATCGAAAACAGCGAACGTGCGAACAGAACGGTGCACGCATCGAGTAACCTCGCGCAGCCAAAATGGTGGACGACACTCCCGTGTTCCGTCACGACTCGATCGCCTAGTCCCCGTTTTCACCACCGCCACACCGCTTAAATCCCGTGACGTGCGACACAATCGGTGGACACGCACCTTTCGCCACCTTTCCCGTACAATAATAATCACAATCGTCGAACGATGAAACGATCGGATAACGGTCGAGCGGAGCGCACTGGAACCGCCTTCTGGTGCACAACACACAACACACCACCTCCGTACGTGTAAAGTGGACCACCCGCCTGGCGCATCCGTTCTAGCATCCGTTTCCGGGTCCCGCGATACGTCGTCGGCACAGACGATTTTACGTATCGGCCGTGAGTCAGTTCCGTTCACAGGGGGATAACACACACGGAGCCGGGTCACCTGATCGTTGGCGTGGGGAAAAAAGATCCAACGAAAGAAGACAGCGTCGACAGGCTACTTCGTTCAGGGCATTCCAGCGCAGGCAGGGTGGACCGAGACGAACGCCGCGCCATCTGACGAGCAAACCGCTGACCCGACGACTGGCATGGCCGCGCGACCAACCCTCTACGCGTCAATAACAATCGAATCGCGCAGCGAACGTGCCTCGTTCCACCGATCCTCGCATCCCGCCACACAAGGCATCTCACGCTTCTACATGATTCCGACCTGAAAATTCGTCTCGAACGCAAAGATATTTCCCGTCGATGGAAACGCGCTCGAGCTCGCGACACCTCGTTTGTATTTTCGATCAACCGCGCAACGAGCTACCCGAGGCGGCTGCGCGATTCGAACTGAGCGCAGCCTCGCATGGGAACCGTGCGGCCGTTGCCGGAAACACACGAGCTTGCACGAACGACACTTAGCCGTACGGCCAGACCCGATTCTAGCGACATCTGGACGGTCGAGGGGGAAGTTTGTAAGGGTTGCTTACGTTCGAGGGGTGAATGGTATCCTATGGTCAGACAGCGACCTGTCTAAGACGGTATCCTGGAAGATTATATTAAATTTTAATTTTTTCTTTAATTTAAACTTATTTTGCAAAAGTTTTATTCTAGACTTATTCGTCATGAAGAATCTTACTCCGCCAGATTGTTCCATGAATTTATTCTTATTCTGTATTTCATTGTATCGTAAGTATTTACAATAATTAATTCAAAATACTTCAGAAATCCTTCAAAGTGGACCTGAATTCTGTTGCCTCATCTTAATTAAGAATTGCAATTCAACAATACAACATTGAATTTCATGAAACGTATAATGTATATTATCATCTGTATTACATTTTAAATAATTTTCTACTAAGATGAATTTTCACTGACTATTTTCTTTTTATGATACCTGTGTCGAATAATGGAGTTTACTGGAAACAAACTAATTATAGACAAATTATTGAAATATGGAAAATATACCTTCATGTACGCTTTTTAATTTCATGTGATTCAAAAGTCATTAATTACCTTGAAGTATGAGATTATAAACAGTTAGTGCAAATAGTGAAAATAGTGAGAAATTGTTTTATTAAAAATGTTACGTTGTGTTCTGCCCAGATTCGTAGTGTTTAAAATTCCAGTCTCGTGCTAGTTCTTCTTCTTCTTCTACTTCCCCTGTGTCTACCGAGACCCGTTCTTCTTCCTGTACCTGAAACATTATTTTAAACTATCCTTCCCTTACCAATAAGTATGAAACTTTCTGTCTGTACAGATTATTCGTGACAATGAAGAAAAACAAAGAAACATTTAACCAGATCTACGGCGAACATAAAAAATAACATAAAATTCAATATTCCTTTTTGATTTACAGTAACGATAAAATAGAAATCAAATAATTTAAGATGATTCAGTCCTATTAATAAAAACTATGTGATTTGTAAATTTACTAATAGTACGTACTGGTTCTCGAACTAAAGATCGATAATAATCAAGTTCTCGATTCGCATCTGCCTGCCATTGAGCCTTTTCCTGACATTTTCTATAATTTAATAACCAAAATCCAAGATAATTAATTGGATCACAAGGTTTCCTTGTCACTATTTCCTTGATCGCCATTGTCAGGGGCAATTTAAAATAATTTCTCAACCATTCACTATCCAACGATAATTCAAGATCGTCCATCAAGCAATTTAAACATTTTACCTCCTCCTCTTCATCCCCTACTACTTTTTCTTCGTCATTCTTTTTTGAAACGTTATCCGCCTCTTATAAAACACAAAAGAATCGTTAAAAAAGTGCGGCTAGCCTTCATCATAGATCCTATTTCTTTTCTTTCATTATTATATTCTTAGACAATGTAGTATATATTGATTTAACATTTTTTTTACTTAATCTTTCCCTTTTTAATGCTTAACAATAAAACCAGTTACTTACTAAAATTATTTTGTGATATTTGATCGAGTTTATTGTTATCATTAGAATCTCCAGATTCTTCTGTCTTTTCATCATCCGGAGCATTACATTTACCTAAATTTGCAGCAGTGAGCAAGAAATCTATTTGACACCGCGGTGGCGACAGTTGTGACATTAATAACTCCTTCACGCTCTGTTTACTGGCGGCAACGTTTTATGATATAGTATTACAATTATTTATGATATGAAATAATAAAGTACACTTTGCAGTCTTTGTAAATGGAATTTTGTATAAAATGAATCTTAACGAATAAAGACACAGAAAGCACTTATAATACAACTCCAATCATTTGTGCACATGAATTCTAGACGTTAATGTAATCGACTCACCTACCGCCTCCATGAAGACGAATTCTATCCGCAAAGATACTCAAAGGATGTGGAACACGTATGTCATTCGGTGGTGGCCGTTCTTTTTTCATTTTTAACAATTTGTGTTCTGAAATAAATGAAATTATTTAAACTGATTAATCGTGAAAAATTTACTTGAATGGCAGATTTGACAAATATATATGGTGTATCATATAAAAACGTTTAAATTTCTGTACAAATGTTTAAATACAAGAGTAAAAACTACAGTTATCTTCAAGAGTTCCACGAAATGGAAACCTATACTGTCTACGAGTCAATGAAAATAATTATGTATAAGTCAACAAAAATACTTTTATTTGCCGGTAATCTTGAAAAAATTCCAAGAAAGCATTTTATTTTCAACCGCACAATTAATTTACAACGCTCTCCATCATCGTGTCAATCTCTCGTACACCTCTAATAAATATCTCAACGAAACAATTACACATGACTCTGTCGTTCACCATTTCTGGCGTGATTGCTGCGATAACGGTGAAAAACATATGATTCACGTACGATGTTTTCGCTGTCACGTGTGTTTTTTAATAATTTACGCCCGACTCTATACCTATTGCCAAGGATAAGAAAAGTACGCCCGTAAGAATCCCAAAGATAACGGGTATTTTTGTTCGTGCGATTGTCAACGACAAATCACGCGTGGCACGACGAACTAATCAAACCCATTCACATGGAGAGCATAAATACATCAGAGATCTTATCAGAATGCAAATTTTCCTATGCTGAACGGTATATTTCTGGTATAAGTCTCACGGCCCACATGAGTCAGTGAAGGCAACTACAGCCAGGTAGCTAGGAGGTGCATCACTTCGTGCACATCCTGTGTACCCTATAAAAATACGAGACAGGGATGGCCAGCGTGGATCCGGAAAAAGATGAACCCAAGAAGATCACGATCTGGCCACAGTGGCTCGCTGCGTTTTCACGTGAGTAAATATCACTTCAAATTTAAACATCGTCCAGTATTCTTCACTCGATTGCATTCCTGAGGCAAATTATTCAATGGAATCTTAAAGCTCCTTTTCCCTTTAGAAGCCTGAAAAAGAAGGTGATATTTAAGAATTTTTTTAAAGAATGCCAGGATGATATGATAAAAAAAATTTCCTGGCCTTTATATATTATACATTCAAGTGAATAGAAAAATTTTGTGTTTAAATATTTGTGCAGCGTGGAAAATTATAGGTGACACTAATCGTGGTGATCCAAAATTGCACTGTACAAACGGTGCTCACGATATATGTAGAGTAGTTCGAAATTAGAATTTTAAAAAAATTATTGACTTTTACTTCAATGTCTATCGTATGACTTACCATCAAGTCGAAAAAATAAAATGGACACAGTTGATATGAGTTTTAACAGAGACACACAAAAAAGGAGGAAATTTTACGTATATTATTGTGAATAATAAAGGAATTTATGATTCAACATTTTCAATAGTATGTCATCCTATAGCTGACTGATTTACAAAAAGAATGCCACAAGAATTTTTACAATCGACTTTTTACGTTATGATGGGCACCATTTATACAGTGCAATTTTGGATCACCAGAATTAACTGAATGTATAGCAAATAACAACCAGGAAATTTTTTACCATATCTCCCTTGCTCTCTTTTAAACAAATTTCTAAGTGCCACCTTCTGTTGGGCCGCTGAAGGGAAAAGACGTCTTAAGCATAACATTCTTAAATTCTTAAAAGTGAAGTTCTTAAAATCATTACGTTGGATTGTTCCTTATAAAAATGATCCATAAACTGTAAAACCGTTTTTTCTCTTGTAATATTAACTGAGAATAATGATCATTAACCATAAAAACTAGAACACCAATTTCTCTCTATACTCAATACCAGAGAATTTAGATTGATGAAGTTATAAGTTTACTCGTTTAATCTTACTTAATCACGTTATAGAGTTTACTGAACCAATAAGTAAAGTTTTATTACATAATTCACGGTTATCGGATTTGAGTATTCGAAGATTAGAACAGTTTATAGTATAATAACGCGTTCGCTGGTGCATCAAGATGCTTCATTCGCTCGGGGATGCTTGTAGACCTATCTCTATGAATGAGCTAATGAAATTACTCTCGCATCTGTTAACACAACTGTTTCATGGCCGTTTGTGACAGTCAGCTTAGCTGTTATCGGAAGTGGTCTCGCGAATGGCTGGGCATCGCCGTACTTGGCTCAACTGACATCAACGGAAGCGAACGTGCCTTTGAGACTGACAGATACCGAAGTGTCCTGGGTGGCGTCCCTTTTAAATCTTGGCCGGCTCGCCGGCGCTTTGCTCAGTGCACTGTGTCAAGGTAAGGTCGATTCTTCGCTGTCAAGAAGAAAATTCGTCTAGCCAGGCACCCCACTCCCCATTAACTCACCCTTCCTGGACACGTCCCGGTGAATCGCATGAACTTGAAAAACTACCCCGACGTGTCTGTCCAAATATAAAACCTATGTTCCAATCAAGAAGGAAATAACCCGATTGAAAATTTATTTTTGCACATTTACACACCTATCATTTAATCTCAAGATAGAACATGACTCTGACTCACCTAACATATAATAATAGATAAATATAATCCTCCCTCTGAAATACTTCCGACGCATACGCAGTTGATGTCGATCGATCCTTTCTTGCAGCACACGATCAGACGGCCAAGCAAGGCAAACAATGGTGAACAACATTGTTAGCCGTGAATTCGATAAGAACAAGGCAGCCACGACTCAGCACTCGGTAGCAAAACGTGATATGAAATTGTGGTACGTAGAATATAGAAACGGCGACTTCGATTATCCTAGAAAGCGATTGATTCCCATTAGACATTCCATCCGTAATTTAATTCAGTATTAGTCGTTGCGATTAGGGAACAGTACCACTGTCGAGAAGATCGAAATCTTCCCTTCCTAAACGTGAATGAATACCTACCAACCATTAGAATCGATTGAAAAAACTCAATGATCCAATAAGTGATCATCAGTACTGAGTTGTGGTGATCTTGTTCTCAGGGAAATGTAACATTAACATGTCAAACCATCATCTTCAGACTACATTGGAAGGAAGAGAGTGCTTCTGCTCAGTGGTCTACCATTGGCCACGAGCTGGATACTAAGTATTTGCGCCACATCGGTCGTATGGCTCTACGCCTCGAGGTTCAGCTCAGGAATCGGAACTGGAATGGTATGGAGTGGACTCTCTATGTACCTGGGCGAGATTGCTGATCCCAAAATTCGTGGATCGCTGGTAAATTTTTCCCAATTCAGTGTTACTATACTCTTATCAAAACTGTAGCTCGTCCGACATTGAAATTTGTTAAAAGATATCTTTACTCAGAGGTAAGACTATTAGATTCCTCCTTTGTATTAAGAGTCCTTCAAATCAACCTTTTGACGTTACGTTAGAGGTAAATAGATATATAAGATACATTGGCTATACTTGTTCCGTGACGTGATGTCGTAGAATTTCATTCACTTTTTCTTTTTATCGACGCGAATGTACTCCAATCAGATTCTTCGTTCGATAAAGTCATACCGGTGGTCACGTCTTCAGATATCCATGAACGTGAATGCATCTTCCGTTGGTATGTTCCTGGGCAATGCGATGGGCCCTTATCTGTCCATGGAGATGTTCGGGTACGTGAGCCTCGTCCCGAATTTCCTCTTCGTGATCCTCTTCAGTTTGATACCCGAATCGCCCTACCATTACCTTCTGCACGGGGATATCGACAAGGCTGAGGCGTCCCTGAAGTGGTTTAGGCGAGAAACCGACGTCAAAGCGGAGATGCGAGATCTCCAAGAATTCGTCGGCGGGACTGGAACGAACATTTTTCGAAACTTGAAGGAATTCCTTGTGCCAAGTACACATGATCTCTTTACTTAAATTCTCGACAAACGAATCTCTCTATACCACCTTCTTGGATCAGTTATTAGAAAAGGATATAATACGCCGACGATAGGCTGTTCACTGAAAATTGGAAAGTCAAATGTTTAAAACAACTACGATATTACTATTCTTTCTGTTCATTTCCAATCAGTACTTCCAACTCTAGTCGAACTGAAGGTTTTACTGTACCATGATGTATAATAAATAGACTACGGATGTTAATACCAGTTCCCATTTTCATAAACGGTTCCACGAAAACTAGTTCATGAACTTTAGTTGAATTAGTTCATTTCGTAAGATCTTAAATACATAAAACTCACAGTCTGCTAGAAAGACAGACAAAACTTTCCATTCAGCTCAAGAAAACGAAATTATACGTAATACACTCGACATTCAATTTATTGCTGTTTCCGATTTCAGACAACCTGAAGAAAGGTCTAATGGTTCTGGGTCTCTACGCTTTCACCTACTTCAGCGGATACAACGCTCTGTTCTCGTATGCAGAAATAATCATGACGAAAAGTGAGATTAGTGTACCACCTAGTCTTGTGGTGACGATACTTGGATTATCGAATATCGTGGCTGGTTCAATGGCCACGCTGTTGGTTGACAGACTTGGTAGAAAGGCCCTTCTGATCATGGCTGCCCTAGGATCATCGATATCGTTGGGATTGTTGGGTCTCCATTTCCACCTTCTCTCTCTGGGATACGATGGCGGCAGCTTGACGTGGTTGCCAATAATCGCCATGTTGATGTTCAACGTCTCCGTGTCTTCCGGTTTGCAACCGATACCAAGCACCATCTTGGGCGAAGTCTTCCCAGCGAAATTGAAAAACATGGCGTGCCTGTTCGTCAGTTCCAGCAACGCTATATTGTCGTTCGCTAGCGCGAAAACTTATCAGCCATTGTTGGACTTGATCGGTGACAAATTCGTGTACTGGACGTACGGCTTCTTCATGTTGTTCTTGACGCCGTACGCTTACTACCTGCTCCCCGAGACGACGGGTAAAAGCCTTTTGGAAATACAACGATCGATTAAAAAGTAGAAGAATGCACGATCGTTTTGATTATCCATCGTGAACGAGAAATAACTCATTGAACTCACCATCTTAATGACCATAAGAGAAAAAACTGACTTATATGCAGTATTAACGTCACTAAACGCGACTTGAAGCGATGTAACTTATTCCGATTGAAGATACGTTTGTTAATAAATATTTATTAATTACTGACGTTCGGTATAATTTTTGTGTCTCGACACGTCAAAGTTACTCTCTCTCAGCGAAACAGTCCAACGCCAAACTCATAGGAGCACGACAAAAATCAAAATGATGATTCTTTCAGCTTGTCCTTCCATGTAGACTTTCACGATGCCCAGTACAGTAAACCAGTTAAAGTTTCAGCATTGTTACATGGGAATCTCTAATCTATAAAACTATAAGCCTACAAATTATTACTGGTAGCTACTTACAGTACCATGTACTCTTCAGACTGGGAATCAAAAGAAATAGGAAAAGCGGTGAACCATGTGGAGTAACGACGTTAATATTGCAAACGTTCCCAAAGAGTAAGACGGATAAACCTGTTATTTCGTGTATATCCTGTGGTACTCTGTGCGATTGTTATAAAGAATTCTCTGCTAGGGGAGACTTTGTTGCGATACGTCTAGAAAAGAAGGTTTGACCATCAGACACGCATCGTTCGCGTGGAGGGAGAACATGAAAGAACTTTCTAAGTCGTCGATCGATCATTACATTCTACCGAATAAAATTTTCTGCGGGATGGCCGGGATGTGGCCTATCGACGAGAACAGTCCGACGTACAGCAAAGTGTTTGCATACTTTCGCCTGTTATTCGCGTTAACAGCAATTAGTAGTGTTTTCGTGCCGGAAGTTATGGCGATTGCTGCGAACTGGGGCGATTTAAAGGTCCTGGCAGGTAATCGATCAAACTGGTATTATCTCGTGCTAACTTTAAAGAATTTATTCTCCAATCTGAGCCTCATTAAACGCATCTTCAGTTCCATATGACTGATTACTACACTGCGAATGTTTATGCAGATTTACAATTTTGGGTACTGATAAATAAAAAACCAAATTGAACAGAATTCTTTTTCCTGTACTAGGGGTCTTAATATGTTTATAAGAATACTTACGGGTCTTAATATGTTTATAATTGCAAGTCAAGGAACGTTATAAATGCATAAACATCCGGAGTCTACTGATTACTATTAGGTCTACCGGGAAGTTCAATCCACTGTCTGACGTACAGGAATTTCTGAAACATAGTTTTAGAACTGTTAAAACCAGGTAGCAAGTGTCTATGAATTAGTCCATTTTTGTCTACCTAGCAGGCACTGCATGTATAAAATGTGTCGTGTTTTCGGTGAGGGTATTTATCAAAAAATACATGCTGGAATCAGAAATTTCGGAGATTGAAGTCTCGAAGATAAATCTCGCTCAGGAAGACCTTCGCAAGTGGACAGTGACAGGCACTGGAGAATACTCGAACGTGAGCCATTCCTAATTAGGTGGTGCACAATAATCAATTTCAGACCACATTCATCGTCTATGATTTTTATACGTTACTTGAAATTCGACAAAACTTTCCACTAGATCTAATAGTATATCAACTTGAATACATTTTACTACTTATAGTACTCTTTTTGACTTCGTATTAGGGGTAGGGTGTGTCTTAACCACGGTTGGACAGTTATTATTTAAAATGATCTACCTGTTGGCTAGAAGAAAAAAAGCATACAGGCTTTACTACGAGTTAAGAGATCTATGGATCACCTCTAATGATCCTGAAGAAAGACAATCCTGTGAAGAACTAGCTCATTGGGCAAGACTTTTAACACTAATATTTTACATCTCATGCATGTGCAACGTGGTCACGTTCAGCGTTGCAGCGGGGTTCGATTACTTTAAGATTAAGTATAATGTCAGTAACGCAGCTGAGGAAATTCGTCACTTGCCTTTCGATGTTTGGTAAAGATCGATACGATTTATAGAAAGTAAAATGATGGGTAGTAAATTCAAGTTATAAATACAATAACTAGATTTATACGATATCAGGTACGGAACGGACATCACGGGTTCTCCCGAATTCGAGATAGCCTTTGCTTGCCAATTCGTCGCATCTATGATCTGCGCCGCCGGTATTTCCGGCTTGGATGCCACGTTCATGACCATTATTTTGCACGTATGCGGTCAATTTAAATTAATTAAAATATGGATAACCAAAATCGGGACTGAAATAAGCTGCGATTCCATCAACGGTAATTCTTCACGAAAGCTCGAGGTGAATTTGTTAAGATGCATCCGCCATCATCAGCGTATGCTAAAGTAAATCATTTTTTCTTCTCGTGCTTCACGCCTTTTTGGTTTTTATGTTGTTTTATGTATAACGTAATATTACCTTCATCCAGTGTAGTAAACGAGGTGAATAATCTGCTAACTCCCGTGATTTTCGTACAACTTCTTACGAGCGGAGTGGAGATTTGTTTGAGCGGTTTCGCGGTCCTCGATAACACTACTGGTACCGATCTCCTGAAATTTATATCTTACTTAGTATCAATGGGGGTACAGCTCCTGTTATGGTGTTGGCCCGGTGAAATTCTCGTTGAAGAAAGCCAGCAAATAGGTCACGTGATTTACCTTAACGTACCCTGGTACGTTTTACCGCCAATTTATCGAAGGGAACTTTGCCTTATAATTGTTAGGGCACAGCAACAATGCAGTATCTCGGCATTAACTTTTCAAACGATCTCTATCCGTACATTAACTAGCGTAAGTATCTTTCACTTGAAACCTTCTTCGCTAGCAGTCATCGAAGAATAGAAATTCTAGAACCGCTAACTTTTTTCTAGGTATTCAACACAGCTGCCTCGTATTTGACTCTATTGCGACAAATGCAACAAAAGTAGGGCATAAATGATAAATGCGTTCGTAATACAGTCGTATTGGGGACAATTTTTATCGCGATAGTCGAAAATGCATCTCCGGAGGCTTAGTGTATTATTACATTTTTTTCATACCTGACTTCCTTTTTGAAAGCTACAACGAAACCAACGGGAAATCAATGGTTCGTAATAATATGTAATACTTAACATTTAAAACTATATACGTATACTAAGCAAAATCCCCTTATTAATGTTTTGTTTTGTGATAACATCCAACCTAATGGTGACGATTCTTGGATTCCTGACAGCCATGACAGAATCAACAGCTACTTTACCGATGAAAAATTCCATAAAGTGTCATCTAATCATCTCAGCGATACCATTGATCCCGCAGCGCCGAACTATTCCAAATATCTATTGGGTGAACGTTTTCTAGCAAACTTGTCTAACAGCATCGTTTCTACCTTTCACAAGTACAAAGACTCTTAGAAATTTAACGAGAAATAAATAACTGGTGTTCAAGCATTTAAAATTGTTCATAAATTTGCATCATTAGCACATATATGCGCGGAAATTTCCTGGTCATTATCACCAAAGCGCATATATGCGCGCAATTTTTTTAACTTTATTGAATTAAATAAAATTATAAATTCTTCGTTTACGTCATTTTGTTTATAATTTTTTATACGTTTTGAAACATTTTTATATAATAAAACAAATTTTTGACGATAAAGACCAATTTTCCACTTTTCTGTATAATGCAAATGGGTTAACTTATGGTATCATTCTTCAAGTCAATGTACAATGGTTGTACATGCATCTCTAATCTCAGCTCAGAAATTATAATTGGTACCTATTTACGATACTATGTATGTATTGTTCAAACCGCGAATCAAAGAGAGGACGAACAACTGCCGACAAAAAAGAAAGAATAAGATGAATAAACCTATTATTTAGCGACAACCGTATAATACTCTGTCATTGCTATGTATCAAGAATTCCCTGCGAGGGGAGACTTTGTTGCGATACATCTGGAAAACAAGGTTCGATCAACAGACACGCATCGTTTCGCGTAAAGGGAGGAACATAAAGGAACTTTCTAAGTCGTCAATCTAAGGTTGTAAATTTGAATTTCTATCGTTAGTATATAGCAAATCAAATATATTTTCTGAAGATTTAACTATGTTTCAAGTACTGAACAAAAAAGCTTTTTATTTTACCCTAATATGATGGATCTAACAAAAACAGAACACATAGAAATACTAAACGCTATCTATGATACTGCTCGTATTGGAAACAAGTTTTATCGACATAGTCAAAAATACATCTTTAATACCGTAGCATTCACGCACAATACCAAAAAAAGTGATCTCTATAGAATTCGTGAAACTTAATTTTTTTCATACCTGACATCGTCACGGAATTGTCAATAGGATGTTGCTCGTAAAGTATTGTCTAAAACGCCTCGACGATCGTGGAATACTGAAAAATCGTATGCATTAACCAATCTTATATGACTGAGATGCATTCCTACGTAAAAATACAATTGTTTATCTTACTTTTTAACAAAATACGAGAATGCAGAACGGAGTCCTCTGGAATGGTTGCAGCTTTCAAATACAGTGACCGACCGTTACGGAATTAACGATAAAGATTATCTGGTCATCTTGTTATTTGATTTGTAGTGGTAGCACTGTTTTTTGACAACTGTCTCTTGCGGAAAACTTCATTGTAGTTGAAATTTAAATCTATCATTCCCCGCGATCCGCTCTAACCTGATTCCACATTATTATAAATTTTATCCTTGTTTTCATTGTTTCTTTTCTAGAGAACGTTATTCGACAAACGTTTATCAACTTCGTAACATATCGATTTGTATCTTGTGCTTCATCGATGAAGAGAACGCGAGCTAGTTCGCAGGTAACGTCTACCAAAGAAGAAATCAGAGACGATTCCTCTAAAAATGAAACCCAAAAGAAGTCAGAGGTTCGTTAATCACACATAATTTTAATTTAATTCTTTGGATTTATTATTCTTAATGAATAATCTAATAACTCATGAAATTCCATTTTCTTTTTGTTACTTTAAATTGCATTACTATTTATGTTATGATGGCTGATGATCTTGGCAGATATTTGGCTTGAAATTAATTAATTATAATTTTATATAGCCAATTCGTTGGTATTACAACTAATCATAATCACTAGCTCCAATTAAGAAACATAGATTTTCTTAGCAGCAAGTTTCATTTTTGAATACATTTACTTTATTATTCAGTGATTCAGTATGTAATCAAATTAATGGTAAGAGGCTTTTTTAATCATTAATAAGACATATATATTTTTATTAGGACAATGAGTATGATTTAATGGTAGATACTAAAAACCTACAAAATCAGATATTAAATAATGTATCAGAAAGTGCAAGTAAATCTGTTGGTATTATGAAGTCGTCTAATGAAGTACTTTTAGAAGATGTTACAAGCTCTGAACCCAAACAGAAAAGTAAACTTAATTTGAGAAGCCTAAGAGACAGTAAGCTATTTTATAGTTGAAAAATGAAGTATTATGACTGACACATTTACACAATTAATTTATATAGGAAACAAAAAAAATAGCGAGGAATTGAAATCAAATCCAATTCTCCCAAAAAATAAGTCTAGAGCTGTAGTAGATCTTAAAATGATGACGGAAGAATTAAAACAGCTAGAAGATCCTCCATCAACTGATTGGGAAAAGGAAATAAGTTCTAACAGGCTACCGTTTTCATTTTTTGATTGTCCCTGTGAAGAATTAGCTCAAAGTTTATTAGGTAGCTTTATTATCCTATTGTACTTTACCATATATCTCTGGAACAGCATTGGTATACTGTTTTTATATTTAGGCAAAATACTAGTTCGTTGTCTAGAAAATGGAACTATTCTGAAAGGTAGGATTGTTGAAACAGAAGGTTATTTGGGTGTGATTGACAAAGCCTCACACACATATAAAAATAAAATTACTCCCCGAAATATACCAATGTATATGCTACCAGGTACTATCTACGTATACATGACATACGGCATGTACCATTGTCTCAATGTTTCTAGTCAAGGTGAGTGTGAAACAAATAAGAATTATAAAATGTGTAAACTGTATTGAGTGCCAAAAAAAAGTAACTGATCAAAATCATTTCCGTGACTACAATCGTCTTTAAGGAATATGGAGGAACAAATGCTTATTAGAGAGACAAAAAACAGAGCAGTTAAATATTTAAATGGAATGGTAGGATTTATTTGTCTACAGTTTTGATCAGCCAACTTTTTCGGCATCCGGTATAGTCACAGCAGTCTCAGTTCTAAATAGTTAATACATAAACTGTAACAAAGCACATCTAGTATCACAGTAAAAATATTTAGAGTCGGGAGCATGTGTGCAAATTAAAGCTGTGGAGCCTATACTTGGCCTCAACTACATGGAATTGCTTAGGAATATGCAATATGAAAAGAACGGAAAAGAAAAAAGAATTATGAAAGATATTGAACATATAAAACAATATGAGCTTTGTAACAGTCCATCCAAGATTTGTGCTGCTTTCGATATCGACGAAGATAGTTTCAATGAAAAAAAGATTTACAAGTGCAATGATTTATGGATAGAATTTGATCCTTACATAAAGTTTACTACTATTGTAGCAGCACAGCATAATAATGATACAGAACACAGTCCACAGAAACTGTGGCGGTACTATGTATTAGGAAGTTCTAGTGTTACTCAGAGAGATATTGAGTCTGAAGAGCATGCTTATAATATCTAACGATTTGTATTTTTCGTACATTACGTTCTTCCACTTAGAAATCTTCTCGTAAGATTTTAGGTAAGGGGTGTGCTGTTTTGATAAGAGCCATTGAACCCTTTGAAGGCATTGAATGCATGGCTAGTCAACGAACATCAAAGGGAACATCGAGTGCACCTAAAAAGTCTTTGAGAAATTTAAAAACACATGAATTATGCAATGGTCCATCAAAGCTGTGTATGGCTTTTCAACTTCATAAAAAACATAGTAAATACTCGATGTGTGCTTGGAGAGGTCTGTGGATTGAAAGTGATAACATGAATGAGGAAATCAAAATAGTAACATGCCCTAGAATAGGTATAGATGGCTACGGAGAAGAATGGTCAAACAAACCATTACGATATTACATACACGGTAACAAAGCCGTGAGTAAACGAAATAAGGGAGCTGAATTATCATTAGGCCTAAACTAAATTACTGATTGATGCAGAGTGTCAGAATTTATTAAAGTAAAATATTTCTTAATTTAAAACATAGTATATTTATACAACTATACGCGTGTGCAAAAATGATGAAATCTACATTTTACAAGATATTTAAGTTACTTCGATTTATTATTGTTGCATTCACAAATAATAATACGCCAAAAATAAATAGTTTCCACATTCAATACAGTATGGTACATGTTCTATTTGTTACAAATGTTACAAATAATTTTTATAAATAAGTATAGCGTACAAAATTAATGATTATTTGTTGAAATATTTTACAAATGCCGTCTTATTTATGCCCATTCCTTCATTACTCTCTCGTGATCTTCCTCCTCGATAAACGGCTTGTCTATAGACCTAATATATTATAACGGATAATAACACGGTTATTTATTTTACGCAAAAAAATGTAGTAAATAATATGATAACTCACTCTATCATAAGGTCTCCACAATATAAACATTCAGAGGCTATTAATTCATCGATATCAGCTTTGATTTGATCCTTTCTTGATAAAGACACAGAACCAACTGATGTTGTATCTTCTGGTCTATTTGAAAGTGCAGTGAGTTGCCGTTGAAGATCCGCTAATTTTGTCCTCTGATCCATCGAAAGCATAGGTGTCAATGCAGCCACAAGGCAATCTCTGTGAAATCTATGCCCGCACGGAAATACATAAAAAGGTCGTAACAACAACTGAACATCACAAGTGTTGCATGTGTCCTTTACATGTATAAATGTGCACCTAAAAATATGATAGTTGTATCACCGTATTAAATATTGTAGTATAGTTTAACCGTCTACCTTGTTCTAAACTCTTGTATATCCTTCGTAAGAATTTCAGCTGCTTTTGTTGATTCTTGCATTTCTTCCTTGAGATCTTGGATATGTTGATTATATTCCTGTTAATTACAATAAATATAATATTAATTGTGTATACGTTTAAGAAAATGAATATCATGTTTATAAAAAATTATTTCACCTGTAATGAATTGCAAATAGCGTCTCGGAAATGATCTATGGTAACAAAGTCTGAAAAGAATGGTAGTATATCTTCTATTTTGACTATGTCACAATGATGCAAAAATTCCATTGCTTGTTGTATATCATCTTTCTCTCGAACTACATGTTCGGCTGAAATTTAAACAAATTAGAGATCGAATCAACCTATACAGCTTTACATCTTATGCTTTTGTCAGTTACCGATTTTTAACCATAACTTCTTCCTCAATTCATCATCGTGATCAGTAGGCATAGCTGCTATTTGTTTAGCAAGATCAACATTGATCGTTAAGGCTAAATCTACTGCTGTTGTCCAGAGTCCAAGCAAAGCAGACAATTGCACACATGCCTTAGTTAAACCAACTTCTTGACACAAACGTAGAGCATAGTGAACATCATAATGTACCATGTTTATATCTTGTCCTACAAACGATTTAAAGATTTCGATAAAAGGTGACCTCTTTGGAATATTTCACTTTTCAAGTTACCTTGAGAGCTAATGTAACGCATTACTTCGTCTTTTTTATAACGAGCATATAATGATAATAAAAAATTGTGAATTGCCTGTTCCTGACAACCTTGTTTGTACACGCAATACTCTAGATATCTGATGACTTCTTTCGCCTATAATACCAAAAACTTGAGAAATATTTAAGCCTTGAAAAATGCAAATAATCAAAAATATATAAATTGTGCATATCTTACATGTTTTTCATCGCTATTACAAGAGACTAAAGCCGGAAGTAGCTTAGATGGTTTTAACGAGGAACCTTGCGATATCAAAGCAGTTACGGCAGGACGTGGTAATTCTTGTAAAAGAATACCAGCGAACTGATAAAAAAGATCTTTGTTATTTTGACTTTTTAAGACTTCAAGCGCTTCTAGATAATTATTTTTGTATAAATGTTGACGTATCACTTCATCATAATTGCAATGCATTATAGTTAAACGGATAAGATTTCCTTTGTCACCATGACTCGCCATTAAATCATATATAGTATTACGATTTCTTTTTATACATTCCTAAAATACAAATAATACGCATAGAAGAATAATTGAATAATAATTCTCTTAATAAATCAATATATGTATGTAGTATTTTTTTCTACCTCAACTTTTGGTATGGCAAGAAAACTATCAAATTGCTTCTGAAGTTCTAAGTATTTTGTGTCATAGCAATATGAAGTATTATTCCTCCGCAATACACCTATTTGATTTATATATAACTCAATTACCCATACAACGATCATGGTTATTTGTGTTTTATCTTGTGCTCTCAATCCTTCGAGTTTCTACACATAAAAACATTATGTTATTACAGATACATAAAATACACAACTTTAAGTTCTAAATGCAGCACCTTCTTAAGAAATGTTTTTAGAGCTTCAATTTGCCATTCTTGGAGAAACTTTAATGAAATTTCTTCAAATGACGAATGAGTATCTGCATAAATCAGAGCACTTTGTTCATATCTGTAAACCAGTATTTAAATCAGTTTGTGATCACATCCTAATTACAGGAATATAAAATTTAACATACTCCTTGTTTTTAAAAAGCATTTCTGCTTGTTTAACCAATACTTGATCTATGTGTGCTGGATTATTTTTACAATATTGTTTGGCAAGTTCAAATTCACCCGTGTCAACATAAACCTGAATAAGAATAAGAGGTGTAATTAATAATCTAAATAATAAAATTATTCATTAAGAGTATTTATTTACCTGCCAAACATTTCTATCTTCTTTATTAACTTTATATTTAAATACTGCTCGTTCACTATAAGCCCATATAGAGTGAGTTACATAATCTTTAGTAATATTAAGTAATTTTCCAACGACCTATGAAAATTAAAACATTTCAGCTATACAATTTTAATGGTAGAGTTATATCTATGCTGTTGTATTTCTTATTTACTGTACATACATCATTATAAATATCTTCAAATATCAATTCCTGATTCAAAATGGATATGCCTTTGACATGATCTGTATAAAGTAACAGTGCATGAAATTCTGTTAGAACAAAGGACAGAGGTGCAGTTGTTACTTGTGAGGTATTGTTTCCTATAAGGCTTGCTTCTGGACATGTTAACATTTGTTGAGTTATCAATGTATTTTTTGGATCTATTTTTGGATCAACCTGAAGAAAATTCAGGTCACTTCAATATTTTCACAATCTTTAACATTATATTTTAAATAATAATATCATTATTACCTGTGCATACAATATACCAGTTTCAGTTAACCAACCAAACGACTTGGGTAAAGCTCCAATTGTAGGGTAATAAAATTGCATTTTAGAATATGGCAATGAACTCAATACTTCAGTAAAACTTTCTGTAAACATATTACTTATATAATTGTTTGAAGTATTAATACAGATTTAAATTTATGTAACTACAATTTACCTTGGACATTTAGATACTTATTGAAAACTTGTTGCAATAAAGGTTTCTCTTCTGGATTTTGTACTGCTCCGATATATTGGTATATACGCATGAGGGTAGTAACAATAATCATATATTTGTCGGTGTTTGGTACTTTATGGAACTCTAAACCAGTAATGGGTGGTTTACTATCTCTCCCTATATCGAATACCTAAAGCATACAACAAACCGAAATTGATTGCTCTATATTCAATACCATTATCGTTATATTATACTTTCATCAAATGAAATGTAATATTGATAAGCCAACTAAATGAAAGGTGAATCACCGAAATGTATAACAAAAAAATACTGCAGGTACTGGAACAGGTTTACGCTCATGCAGAAAGTGTGTAATATCTAACTCACCAATCCTTCTACCTCCTTAGCACCATAAAGAGGTAAGTAGTTAGGAAGCTTTGGAAATAATGAATAATGATATAAGGAAGGTACTTCATTATCATGAACTGCCAATGTATAATGATAATGACATTATTAAAAGTTAATTTTATACATTTGTTTGTACCTGACGCCAATATTGCTCCAAACTCGTGTTAAATATTTTATCACCGTCTAAACCAATTTCCGTTTCGAAGATAAGACCTTTCGAAGTTCCTAAGAGAATCGAACCCGTAGTCGTTTCGGAAGAATTTAGAAAATTCCATCCGACGGCTGTGATTTCATGTCCTTTAAATTTACTTGCCTGAACAGGTAAATTTTGAAAACTTTATCTTTCTTTTGAAACAGTATATACTTATATAGAATAGTGCAATGCTTCATTATATTTAACATATTATGTTGATAATACTAATTCATTTCATTTCATACTTGTTTTAATTTTGTTGTTTTTCTATGTAAATAGAACAACTCAGGTGGATTGTCTTGATCCTTTGGAACCAAAACTATTAACAAATGGTTACCCAATGGATCAAGAAACATTCCCGAGATTTTCTTGCTCACTGCATACTTAGATATATCAATTTCTGGAATGGATATTACATATTGTAAGTATATTTGTTAGTCAATACTGTACTACTAAGATCTGTACCTTCCGGTGCGTCTGGATTCTTCATATCAATACGCAGGAGAATGTTATTAGCCATAGCAATAACAATTTTATTATTATTAACAACAAGGTGGACAATGTTGTCAGATGGCAGAAAATTAACTCTCTGTTTTATGAAAATCGGTCCATCATCTTGTAGCTTCATTTGTATAAATCCTGCTGTACTCTGAAAATTTATCAAAATGTTTATGCCTTAACAGTAACAAGACAAAAGTCACAATAACAATACAAGAACACAAATAGTTTTGCATATTCTTTATTAATATCTAATTATGATTAATTAAGAAATATAATCCTATAATATCAATACATAATTTAATAAAATTTAAAATATATTTCAACAAAGAAAGATACTAACACATAAAGAGGCTCCAAATTATAAATTAAGATGAAAGAAAGCTGAACGTGCATAAATAGACTTACAATATCAGGACGAATTGGTGGTACATATATTTGTTTTGATCGCTGAGATGCTTGTTCATACTGATCAAACATCGATGTCATTTTGATAATTTATTTCAAACTGTTCACCCTTCTATAACAAGTAACATTCAAATATACTTTACAATTGCTTTCTAAAATTACCATATCAGTACATTTATACTCACATTAGAAATTTTAAATACGAAAATTTTAATTGCTTTTATAGCCTTTGGTTCAAATTAAATACATAGTACATATGTCACTAATCACTGTCTTAAATTACAATTAGTCACACACAAAAAATAATGTTACTCCGAAAGGTTAACCTTAATGTTTGCATGATAATGTACTTTCAGATCCTTCCTAAATCAAATGTATCTGTTCAGTCAATGGATTCACTTATAAAACCTTATATATTAACAATACACCCTGATAAATACAATTAACTGACAGCGATAACGTCTTATACTCAATTGTATTGGTAGCAGTGATTAAGCTCACATGTGTTTAAGACAAATAATAATAACTATTGAAATCGAATTAATCATCTAGAATCTAGCACCATACATTATTATTATATAACTAACATTAATACAATAGGGTTTGATATTAACTAAGTAGTAATACAAAACAGTGCTCATGTAAGTTTCATTTTGGTCAATTTGATATTATCCGTATTATCTAGTTGATATAGATATTATCTATTAACGGGTTATCTGTATTATCTCGCTCAGAAACGTGGTATAAAAATCAGTGTTTGCGTCGAAGCATACTTGGGTAGGTCCAGGTGATAAGTAGAAAGTAAATATTGTTTAAATGTCTAACACTAATGCGATGGAAAATGAAAATGATCCAGTGGTCAAAGAGGTTTGTAGACCAATTGTCATTTTCTTTCGGACTTTCCAATATTGTTTCATAAAACGTGGTAATTTTAGGTTATGCATTTAAACTGTTTTAACAATTTTTGCCATATTTAATATGCTTTTGTAGTATCATAATGAATAGGAGTATTTCCTTATTTTCATAACACATGAATTAATTTTCACTTCATAACTGCATGCCGCTTACAATAAAAATTAACAAGCATTTTAAGCCTTCGTCGTAAATAAACCTGGTGAAAAAATGTATTTATAATTGCATGTATAGACTTTTCTAATCAATAGCTATACCATGGAAAAAAAGAAAGAAAAACATGTGAAAATTTTATTTATACGGGAGGATGGAAAGAAATGAAAGTCTTGGATTTGTTTTAGATCCCAGTGTTCCTTTCGAAAACACTTGCAGAGAAATTGTTTATTTTTCAATATCCTGTCCGACCTGCTAAAGAAGGCTATGACAATGCAACCGTTCTGAAATCCTCCATAAAACCACAAAATCAAGAGGTTCTTATGGAAGTAGCAATAGACACACACAGTGTAAATTATGACCAAAGCAAAGGTGAACAAATTGCAATCAATGCAGATGGTGATGCAAGAAGTGAACAAGATGATGACGACAGAGCTTTTGACAGGTATTAAACAAAATACAATTGGAATGATTTATAATTCTTCTATTTATATTGTATATTATGTTTATGTTGTAGTCATTTTATGGACAAAACAGTTTTACAATCTTCTCGGGTATTACCAAACTGTTCTAATTATGCAGTAGGTGTTTTTCAAGACGGAGAATTGCATTTAACACCTGTGACAGGAGTTGTTCAAATGCGTCCACAGTTCAATTACCTTGATAAAAGTGATAAACGTGTCAGAGAGGAAGCCAAAAATATGGGGGAAGGTAGCATCTATTTATAGTGTGTAATATCAATGAAAATCAGATTAAGTACTAAAAATTTTCATATGTAGAATTAGATGAAGAAGAAGAAGGCCCAAAACAAGTCAATGTAACTTTTGCCAGACAGAAACCAGAGTTTATGAAAAAGATGCAGGAGCAATCTTTTCAGCACCATACCCAGAAAAGTTTAGAGGAGAGATGGATTCATACAAACTATATTCCAACAAACAGCACTCAAGCAGAGGTTGGTATTATCTTCTGGTTGTTTCATCACTGAACTATGTGTAAATCCAGCCATTTCTTGTCACATGAATATATTTCTTTTCAGCTTACACGTTTGGAAATGTATTGCTCTGCAACTGATGAAACTGTAAATACGCTGAATTTATCAATGTCGCAATATTTAGAATTATTAGCACCAAGAATGAAAGAAGAACAATATGTAAAAACAGATATTTCTAATACTACAACATCCCTTAATTATATTAGAACCTTACCTCTTCTGGATCAAATTAGAACTCTTCTGAAAGATGGTTAGCAATTTTGAAACACACATGTATTAATTTTAAAATAATCTATACTAATTGAATTAAATTTTTTACAGCCAAAGTTATATCATTTGTACAGTTACGATCAATTTTATCACCAGATCAAGAAACAGCAGCTATTTTAAAGTATTTACAACAAGTAGCTGTTTTAGTACAGGGAAATTGGGTTGTAAGTAGCGAACTTGTATATCCAAAGGAAAGTATATCTTCATATAATGGCATTCCCGCAGAACTTATGTGTAGAGCTAGGGATTACATTGTAAGTATTGATAATTTAATGAGTAATTCGTTCAAATCAGTAAGATTACTAAAAGTGTATAATTTCAGTTATTATCTTTTACGGAACATGAATACTTAGATAGAAAGACAATTTCATCGGTAGTTAAATTACCCCCCGAAGAAATTAAAGAAATATTTACAAACTTAGCAATACACGAACCTAAAAAGGGTTGGCGTTTAATAATTCCGCCTGTTAAGGATTTTATTGAAAGGTAATTCAGTAATACTTTATTGTAAAAATAATATAGGAAAGCATATTGTAAAATGTGTTCTACATTGTTAAAATTTTCAATAGATATCCTGAAATAGCACAAAGGCAGGAAATGTTTTGGGAAGCAAAACGAAAACATCTCCGCGAAGCAATGGAAGTCCAGAATCAAGTTCCGCAACGTCAAAGGCGGAAGTCAAACAGAGAATCTGTGGGATCTGAAAATGAGGAGAAAAACGTCGGACGTGGTAGAAAAACATTAAGGGATTCTTCGATGTCCGACAATGATAGCGCAACGGAACCAGTGAAACATAAAAAAACTATTCGATCTCGAAAAGTGTCTGAGACCACGTGACCAAAGTTGATGCGTGACTGAAATTTATAATATTTTAACATATTGTTAATCTGTTTCGAGCTGTGGAATCATCACTCCGCTAGATCATATTATCACAATGTGTCTGCTCTGATATACTGCCGAAATCGTCTAATATAGATACTTTCTTAAATTACTTAAGTGAAATATTTTCTAGTCTCAAATAAGATGTCGAGCAAAGGTCACTGTCGAGATTTTTGTTATCCTAACTACTCGTAAGTAAAATCCTAATCGTTTTGCTTGGTTTTTTTTTAACATCGTCTATCGTGAGAAATATATTTATTAGAGAAATTCAGTTGCATAATATTATTTATTAAAGTATGTACAGACTGAAAGTTTTGGACCCATTACACGATCATTAGGAACTATTTATTAGCTTGCATGGCACTGTCGATAGTGAATAGACAAGATGTACCTATAATGAAACTGTATAAAGCACTCACTTATTATTTCCAGCGATTACTTTCGGCACATCGTGGATCGATGATGCACCGAAAGCGTGGACTGAAAAACGACTGATGTTTTTTATTATAGTAAAATGTATTTTTACGAATTAAGGGAGAATTATGTGAAATCGTGATGAACTGTAGGTAGAAATACATGTATAAACAATCGAACGAATATTGTATTTATTATTGTGATGTTTAAAATGTACATATTTATAGTACCAAGAAGTACTTCTATGGATTTCCTATATCCTTTTGCTTCTTCATTTACATTTCTTGTTTCTATAGTTACTACATAAAACATTTTAAGGTATTCTTTATTTAATTATTTATTATTTACAATTAAATTGAAAAAAAAATAGAACTAGTTTTGATTATTTTTAAAATTTCAAGTCTGCATGTCACGTTATGTTTTACTTTCTTAAGTAAATCTATAACTTTCGTAATATTTATCATGTTTAGACTAAGATGCTGTTCGTAATAGTCTTACATAAATCGATTTTTTATTAGCCTAATCAAAGCTGACTTACGTGAATCTTGTTATAAAAATATGATCATTTTTAATATTTACTCAATGATACGAATATACATATACCTATTAACAACTACAGTTCCATATAAGTATGTACATGTCTTTAAATGATTCTAAATATAAATATACTAATATAATTAGATATTAATTAATAATTTAATAATATGTGTTTTTTGATTACATTTCGGGAGTTGTCTTTAGTTATATGGAATGTAATACCTGTTCAAAAGCAGGAAGTACAAATGAAGAAACAGTATCTGTACGTGTGCATATTAATACATACTGGTTTTCGGAGCAACTTGTGTAGAACTATTTCATTTGATCTTTAGGTATGTATGCATTATGCAACAATCTATCGCCTTTTGTAAACACGTTCGAGTATTTACAAGTGAAAACGCAGTTTGTAGCGAAAAAGTTCAGCGAGAGATTAATGTTAATTACAATACAAGTTTACGTTTAGAATCAGGCTAATTCGACATTATTCAGAAGAAAGTATGCACGTACAGCCAGATTCATTCGATGAAAAAAAATAATATCCTATTGTCTGCATATCCCAATTAATTAATTATACGAAAAACAAACAAGAAACTAAAGACACCATGTAACACAAGCTATTTCAACGAACTTTCGATTTCCATCGTTGAATGTTCCGATAAAAACAACACTTTAAAAATAATTGAGACTTTTCCAGTCAAACTAATACATAGATTAATTTCATGTGTGTACTTTACATTCCAGCATGTTGCCCGAGAAAGTAATAGCTACGATTGTCCTTGAAGCCATTAGAAGGATTATTACACGTCTCGCAGCATGTCGTTGTACATATTAGACCCACGGGACAGGAGAGGAGAATGTCTTTATTCATGCAAAACCAATTCGATGTTGCATAATTTTTTGCAAAAGGAAAAACGATTAACTCTCTTGGAGAAAGGTGGTGACTTTCTTCGATGAAAAAATCGCTGAACTAATTGTGAAAAAGAAAAACCACCCACAGAATGACACAACAAATACTAAAAAACTACCAAATAAAAAAAAAACGTTATAATTCACCAACTTTATAACTTCTGATTCGTTTATCTTCCTGTTTTTCGAGTAACAGAAGTGTACAATTTATATATAAATAATTCAAATTAGAAATAATTTGGATTTGAAGCAGTTTAATTTTATCAATGGAAAGAGAGCAGCAAAGGTCTTCGTTCGGGTGAAGGTCGTTCAACTTGAAATAATAAATCTAACGAATACGTAAGATGCCTAAAAAAAGAACCTGATATAACAAGGTAGGATGAAGTAATCGACTTTATTAATTGGACGAGGAACTCATCTTTCATTTAATTGCACCTTTCATCTCCTGTTTCTTCTTGTTTTCATTTCCAACAGTTCATTTGCATACCACAGGGGCGTAGCGGAGGGCGAGCACACTTTCTCCCGTTGGATTTGACCGATCTGACCGTCGGTGAAAGTATTTCTTATATGCGTCTACACGCCCGGAACACCCGAATATCTGTCATTTTATCGGAACCATTGCTCTGAACCGATAACATTGACTATTTCAACGATCGAAGACCAGAGAATCCCAAGAATTGGTATTTCCCAATTTTAATGACTAAAAACTATCATATCCTTACATACCTACATACAACAATACAAATTCGTGTTCACATCAACGTATAAAACGTAATAATTAAAATTTTAATCCTTAAACACTTAACAAATCATTAACACAACTTACAGCTCCTGAAATATAAAATTGTCTATCGTTAATTTTGAAAAAATTGAATCTTCCAATTTTTTATTTGAAAGAAACAAACCAGAGAATCGAGGGGAGTATTTATTAAGAAGGTAAGGAATTAAAATGTACAATTGTCTTTATGTTTTATGCTGCGTTGCTTTACACGTATTTCATGCTTCTAAATTCATTTGCAGTTGCATGAAACCGGTTCGCCGCCAGAAAGAATTTAATTCTCTTCAACGAGCTCGGTTTTCCGTGGAACGTACGCGCCACGGGGGTTTAAAGTACACGATGGTATCTAGTAAAGCGTAAAGATTCCGTCCATGAAGGTTCGATCCCTTAAACAAAGGACCGAACGAGACGCGTGGGTGGAACTTGTTCTGGGCGAAGGACGATTTCGAAAAATTTGCGACACGGATCGGTCGTGCGATGGTGCAAGATAGAATTCTTAGAGATATCCGATCCGCAATGGACCTATCGAACAAAAAATTCAGTCGAGAAAGGCTATTTTTCAATAATTTTATGCTTCAATCCGCATCATTGCAATATCGACTAACATTTCGTTTCGAGAAAATTAAAGATTTGACCTCCACGTTACGGAACATGGATTCTTAATAGAATAAAAGGTCGCAGATAACGCATGCATTATCTGAACAAGTACTTATATAACACGATAAGAAATGGTACGAACGCGGAGAAATTACACATGTAATGGTAAATCTTAATAAGAAATTAAGAGAATAATTCTCGCTTCTTGTTACATTATTTACTGCACTATATATTTCTCTGATTCCATTAATGTCGATCTAACAATAGCCTTTTGTATTAACAGACTGCCAACGAACAAATTATAGATTATATACTAACTTACCTAAAAATTGCTATTTGAATAAGTTTTTTTGTCCGAAGCCCAAACCTCGGCAACAAAATATGCGCTTGACAGTGTGTTGTGTGGATAACGTGTGGACAATAATCGTGTAGAACAAGCTAGACGATAATCGAGAGGAGTCTGTATGTAGACAATCCGACCCGCCGTATTTTTTAAACCGGCGTAAAAATGGCAGTGTGTAGTTTCAACGTATGTATGTATCTTTCACTTCAGCAGGGAAGTTGTTTCGTAAATCATTCTGTCTGTAATTTGTCTGGGAAATATGGTAATGTTCATTTATCACAAAAGATTCTAATGCAGGGTTCCAAGGAAGAATGAAACTGGAAGAAAGCGTGTGCAGGATATTCGATCTTGTCGATCGCATCAATCGAAAGGGATCTCGGTTTCCGTAAGGTGAAAACAATGACCTTCGAACAGGCGTCTCCGCGAGAAAGAAAGTCCGAGCGATCTGTTTCCATACGATTTCAATAAATTACACGGTAAGCAGTGCGTTGAATTCGCCGAGGGGAAGCGACGAGTCAAGAAATCGACGGAAAAGATATCGAAAGTTTCAACGTCTAGTGTGAATTTCAACTTTTATTCTGTCTTCGTCTCGTCTTGATTCGCCCCGAGATTCGATCGATCGCTTGTATAATTGTATTTTGTAAAATTTATTTCGTCGGATCTAGTTACTTGTGTACCATAATTTTAATCACTTAAATGACTTGGAAATTACTCGTTTAATTCCTTATAATGGTAAATAGCAAAAAATTTAACAGGTCTTTTTTTACAGATGTAATTACGTTATTCATCCAGCGTGAAAGGTGATTAAATTAAGCGTACATACACCAACCTACTTTCGATGTTCCAATGGCACAGTAAGACGCGATTTCAGTGAAAAGCAATTAAAACATTTATGTGCTATTCGGGGAGGCGTGAAGATGAACGGAAATAAGGTCAAGTTTGACACACATGGAAAACAACATTAACTCGCTGTCTGAATGCAATCTCTTACTGATATGTGATATACCAATAAGTAATTCACTACGCATAATTCCAACATGGTAGCAATACATTTTACATTCAGGACATTTTTTCATTCTTCTGTTTAATCAAAATGGCAGAGGATGATGGAAACAATTATTTCGAAATGAATGCAGAGTTTCACAAAAAATAGTGGTCTACTTAAATGATACACCTAATAGTAAACGTTATTTCAGGTTTCATTAAATTCCCAATGGCGAAGAGTTCACTGAAAACGAATCTTGTATCTTCTCTGAAGAAAATAATGTTCAAAGTAGAATATAAAGTAACGTTGGGACATATAGCAACGTTTAACGAAGGATCAAGGAAGAATACAAGGAATCGAAACTCTACGTAAGCGTTTTTCGGTAAGGTGTCGACGAAATCGAAGAGG